CCCCCCCCCGGGAAGGGAAGGGGAGGCTTTTGAAGATGCCTTCCCCCCTTTTGCTTCCCCTTCTGACATCACTTCCAGCGATGTCAGGGGGTGTTGCATATGCTAATAAGCTATTATGCTAATAACCTAGTAGCTCATTAGCATACTATATGCTAATGAGCTCATGCGCACAGGTGGCCATCTGTAGAATTAAAATTTTTGCGTGTGTGCAGAACAACGATTTCCACTTCAACCCAACTGCTGTAACACTTCCCTTTAAACGTTTACCCCGAAAATGGCCTCTGTGAGATCCCAAACTCGTCTAAATGCTAAAACTAGGCACTGTTAAAACATTGTTTTTAATAACGTGTTGGCGAACCTCTGCCTATGCGCACACGGCCAACGCTTTTAGAAAAAATGGCGGGTGAAAAGCGGAAGCCTCGGGCAGCTTTCGAGCAGGGAGGGGGTTTAAACCGGAAGTGGCTCAACACTGGAGGAGCAATCAGATGTCAGAAAAGTGCATCTGGAACCGGAGAATCAGGAAAACACCACTTGGGGACCTGGTATCAAAATACTCTGGGTTAAAGCGGTTTTGAGCCGGAAAGTGACGGCTGGGGACAGGAGGCAGATGTTGACTGTGTGATCGCACAGATAAAATCCGTTTCTGAGGCGGGCCGAAAGCGGACTAAACGGCCCGTCTGCTCAGATGATGCTGTCCAATCAGATTGCTCAGAGCAGCCTGACCTGGCTAGCCCAGGCAAGCCGGATCTCGTCAGATCTCGGAAGCGAAGCAGGGCTGACGCTGGCAAGTGCTTGGATGAGGGACCTCCTTGGAATACCAGCAGGCGGGAGGCGGGGGCAGGCTTTATCCAGCCACCTCTCTGAATATTCTCCAGGCCCCCAGTAGGGGTCAGTCACCAGAGGTCGCCATGACTTCCAGGTGCACACACACACACACGGACGCATACACATGATGCACCTATGAAAAATACAGATTGCTCAGAGCAGCCTGTCACTTAAGGCTCTCTGGCTCTGTGAAGAATTAACCCTTCACATACGTTCACTCTGTTTGTACAGCACTTTTAAGAAGTTGCAGTTTGTCACAAGAAGTTTGCAGGGGGACGCTGGGCCCCACTCTCAGCCTAACCTACCTCAGAGGGTTGTTGTGAGGATAAAATGGAGACGAGGAGAACAACGTGAATCACTTCTGGGTCCCCTTTGGGGAGACAGGCAGGCTATAAATGAAGCAAGCAAATAAACATGCAATGGTGGGTGAGGGTAGGTTTGCCAACCTCCGTGCATGGCCTGGGTGTCTCTCAAAATTACAACTGACCTCCAGACTACAGAGAGAAAATGGCTGATTTTGGGGAAGGGGGGGAAGCATATGGCTTTATTCCCTGCTGAGGTCTCTCCCCAGGTTCTACCCCCAAATCTCCAGGAATTTCTCAACCCAGAGTTGGCAATGCCATCAATGGGCCTCCCAGTCACTATTTCTGAGCTTTAGAAGGCCATAGCCACACCCTTTTCTCCAAAGGGCATGACGTGTTTTTTTGTTGCCAACAGGTGGTCTCGTTCTGATCCATGGCGAGGTGGTCCATAAAAGTGAAGCAAACTGCTCAGAAACCTCTCGCCACGTCTATACCTTCCATTTGATGGAGGCCAAGGGCACAATCTGGAGCAAAGAGAACTGGTGAGAGTCAGCATGGTGCCCTGGAAAGGCTGGAGTTCAAATCCCCACTTGGCTAGGATGCTCACTAGCTAGGCTGGTTGCTCTCTCTCAGCCTAACCAGGGTGGTGGGAGGATGAAGTGGGTGGAGGGCAGGGTTCATTTTGTAGAAAAAGAGGTGCAGGAGCTCATTTGCATAACTCTTTTGCATGTGCCACACACCCCTGACAAAGGGCATGCATGCAAGCATGCCTGGGTTCCCTGCCTGATCTTCTCCAGGGAGCAAGAACAATGGGGTCTGGTCTGCAGGCTGTGTTTGCCATAGGGATCTAGAAGCACATGTACAGTTCTCGGGCAAAATGGCTGCAGCCGTTCCTCGAGTGACCTAGATTAGGTTGGGGATCCCAGATAAGGACTAGTTCTTTCGAAACGGTAGAACTTTTTTGGCTGCAGATGGCAGGTAGGAGCTCTCCATATTGAAAAACAATCCCTCCCCATAGAAAACCACCATATTTAGGGTCGCCAGGTCTGGGTTGGGAAATACCTGGAGACTTTGGGCGGGTGGATCCGGGAGAGGGCGGGGTTTGGGGAGGGGAGGGGCCTCAGCATGGTGCAATGCCACGGAGTCCACCCTTCAAAGCAGCCATTTTCTCCAGGGGAGCTGATCTCTGTCAGCTGGAGATCAGTTGTGAAAGCGGGAGATCCTCAGGCCCCACCTGGAGGCTGGCAACCTTAACCATATTACAGGGAAGAATTCAAGCCTAGCCCTCCCCAAAAGATGGTAGGTTTCTAGATGCGGGAACTGTGTTCTGAACGTGAGTTCCCTTGTAACCTGAAGTGGTACAAGTTCAGACTAAACTCTTCAGTGCAAAGCCTGAGAGCCCTGAACCACCTTGCTCCCAGGAGGCCCCAGAAAGCTAAAGGGCTCCCATGAGCCCAAATACAGGGGATCACGGTTCCGCTTAGCAGTTTCGCTTCACACCCAGCTGTTATTGCTGCATCGACCACACTCCCTCATGTCCACAGAAGACAGGGAGAGCCTCACAGAGCTGGTCTCTGCTTTGCGAGGAGAAAGAAGCAGAGAGGAAGGCTTGCCCACCCCCCATCTGCCCTTCACTATAGCACACTGCTATGCAAGTGGGGTTGCCAACCTCCAGGTGGGAGTAGTCAAGAACAAAAACCACCGTGATGTTGTATTATGAAAATATATTTAGGCTTCAGTTCTGGAGTGAATATATTTCTTCATCACAGTATGAAAACTGTCAGGGCTCAGGTAGGGTGTCACCTGACGCTGCCACCACTCTGGTTCCAGGCTCCCTTGAGAAGGCCCAGAGTACCCTACCCAAGACCTTTAGACCTCCCGTTTGGCCGAATAATAGGCGTGAGGACCAGGCAGAGTGAAACAAAGAAAAGGTTTATTTTATAGGAGGTCAAACAACAAGGTGCAGAATAATAACAGTAAGTGGGTGAAAAGAAATCAAATGCCCTAACACGTCTAAATATATACTGTCCCTAGCTCACTATTCCAGGTGACACTACTCACCCTTCCCTCAGGATGAAGGTTTCTTCCTGCAGCAGCCTTTCTTCTGGCTCTGCCCTCTGGAAGAAAGAACAGCTTCTGCTCTGGCACCAGCCCTTTTGTTCCCCAGCCCTCTTCTTCCCTATTGGTCAATTTTGGCTCCAAAACCTCTCAGGGGCTTCTGGGAGTTGTAGGCCCAGCCTCACCTATTGCTAGCCAGGCTCCCTGGGCCTAGTAGGCCTCTGTTGGCACAGCCCAGATCATGACAAAAAAATACTTACGCATAATGTGATGATATTCACTGCAGAACTGATGCCTAAATATATTTTCACAATGCAACATCACGTTCCCTTCATTGGACAGGAGGAGAAGTGGAGATCTTGGAGTCCTTTTATTCTAGTCAGAAGAAGGGTGGGAGGGATGCTGTAAAGCACCATGAGCAGCTTGATCAGAGGAGAGGGGGAACAGGGCAGAAAATTAACATCTGTAGGGAGAGAAAAGCCACTGTTGGATCAGGCCAGTGGCCCATCCAGTCCAACACTCTGTGTCACACAGTGGCCAAAAAACCCAGGTGCCATCAGGAGGTCCACCAGCAGGGCCAGAACTCCAGAAGCCCTCCCACTGTGGGCCCCTCCCCCAGCACCAAAGAATACAGAACATCCCTGCCCCAGACACAGGGGAATTTTACATTACCCAGTTTTACCCGGTTTCAAGCCGGTAATGATCCATTTTGAAGTGAACCGGTATAGGGCTGCCATTTCACACATGGCTTTCCCCTTCCGGTAAAGCGCTGGATCTGAAGCGGTTTGCCATTTCAGACTGCACCGCTTTTTCCCGCTTTCCCCCCGCCTTTTTTCACCCATGCGGGCGATCTCCGGCTTTTTTTTTTTGAACGTTCGCTTTAGAGCGCTATAGCAGTATAACAAAACACTCCATGCATTCCAATGGGATTGATATAATGCTATTCCGTTATAGCGCTATAAAGCAAACGTAAAAAAAAAAGCCAGAGATTGCCCGCACGGGCGAAAAACAGCAGGAAAAAGTGCATCGGAACTGGGAGAGGAAACTGAGGAGTACTTGGAAGCGGTTGACAGGTAAAACGTTTCAGCCCCGTTTCCTAAATGGGACAGAAGCAATTGTGTATGAAATGACAAATATATTCCGGAAGGGAACCAGTTCTCAAATGGTTCTGTCTGAAATGACAGACCAGAAACCGTTTGGGAACCTTTCTTCTTCCGCAATATATCGCCTGTCTGAAATTCCTCAATGTGTTCCATCTAGACCTTGTGGCTAATAGCCCCAGATGGACCTCTGCTCCAGATGTTTCTCCCGTCCTGAAGATGTCTATGCTTGTAGCTGCCACTACTTCCTGCGGCAGTGAATTCCACTTGTTAATTACTTTTTGGCGAAGAAGGACTTCCTTTGATCTGTCCTGTCCCTATTCAGCCTCGGGGGTTCCATTGTTCTGAACCTGTGAATTAACTCAGGCTCAGCAATCTCACATTGTAATTCCCCCTTGAAATTTCTTTGAGGACTGCCACTCTTAGCAATGGAATGGTCAACAATGGAATGGAAAACCCACTGGGTTTTAATGTATTGTGGTTTTCAATTTCAGATTTATGTCCATTTATACTTTTGCATAGGGACTGAGCTGTTTGTCCTAGGCAGAGAGTGGAAGGGTGTTGCTGACATTTGATGGCATGTATAACGTTAGAAGACGAACGAGTGAATGAACCTGAGACAGAACAAAGTTTGAGGCCAGTCGCACCTTTAAGACCAACAAAGGTTTATTCAAGGTATAAGCTTTCATGTGCATGCACACTTCTGAAGAAAGCTTATACCTTGAATAAAAGTTTGATGGTCTTAAAAGGTGCCACTGGACTCAAAACTTTGTTCTGCTGCTTCACACCAACACGGCTACCCACCTGGACTTGAGATAGTAGCTCTTGGAGGGGAGAGGGGGAAACCTGTGTTATGGCAAGGAGGTGGCACTTGAAAGTGGCCTCTGCTTGTAGCTATGCCACAAGACCGCCCTGAGCCAAACAAAGGATACAGGGAGCATGTACATCTATTATAGGATGTGGGACTCCATCAGGGAATGATCTGAAAGAATGTGAGACAGCCACCCTGCTGAGGCCAAGCAGGTCTGGGAACCCGCGTGTACACTGCCTTGAATGTCATAATAAAGTTGGGATAAACCTGCAAAGACAAAACTCTGAAGTGCTTGCTGGACGAGTGGAGGCAAAGGAGATACCTAGAATAGCCTCTGATGTAAATAAATGTAGAGGAAGGGAGGGGAGAAGCCCAAGCATTCCTTCAGGGCATTGAGGTATGCAAGGTGAAGCACTGCTCTTCTCTTGCTAACAAGATCCGGGAATTCAGAGGCGCTTCCCTGCCTCTTAAATTAAGTCTTCCCTCAACTCATTTAATTGCTTTGAATGTTATAGCCTAGTTTATGAGTACACTGTGTCCCAACAGTGACTCACGAAAGCTCATCCCCTGCCACAAATTTCCTGTCTTTAAGGTGCCACTGGACTCTTGCTCTTTTCTGTCTCTCAACATTTTATTTTTTATTTCTGCAGGCTTCAGCCAACTCTGGAATTGCCTTTTCCATCCCTCTATACACAGAACTAACAAACAATGGGTTGACCAAAGCATGCTTCTGAGGCAATTCCTGGCCATTGTCTCCCTCTTAATTTGTTATTGAAATCTCAGTTTCTGGCACTGTTTTATCTTTTGACTTGAGACGGTTAAAGGAGGAAGACGATTCTCATTGGGCTTTACCTCCACAACTGCAAGTAACAGAGCTCTGCCAAAACTCTCAAGTACACTGACAGTGCTGAATAAACATGAACACTGCTTTCCTGGCAACGTCTCTGCAATTTACCTCTTGCTTGGGAGACTAGAAAAGCCACAGAACAGTGTCAGTGGATGTAGAATACAGATTCCTAAGAATCAGAATCAAGTTGAGTCTCATTTTTGTACAAGAAGAAAGCAAGGTTCTAGGTCTTATGAGTGCAAAGACACCATGACCAGAGAGCGAGTGTTTCAGCAGCAGGAAGATTTGCTGAGTGAGGCAAATGCACAGCAAATATAGTGAAGCAAATATACACAGCAGAGGCCACGGTGGCTCAGAGGTTAAGATGCTGAGCTGCAGACTGGAAGGTCTGTAGCTTGGCAGTTCGAGACCTAAGTGCTCTGGCCCCAGCTCCCACCAACCTAGCAGTCTGAAAGCAAGAAATTGCAAATAGATAAATAGGTACCACTTCGGTGGGAAGGTAATAAGTGTTCCATGCACCTCAACTTTTAGTCATGCCAGCCACATGACCACAGAGAAGTCTTTGGACAGCGCTGACTCTTTGGCTTGGAAATGGAGATGAGCACCGCCCCCCTAGAGTCGGATTTGACTGGCTTTTCAAGCAAGGGAAACCTTTACTTTTAGGCCTTATGAATGCAAAGACACCATGACCGGAAGGGTAGTATTTCAGCAGCAGGAAGATTTGCTGAGTGAGGCAAATACACAGCAAATATAGCGAAGCAAATTTACACAGGCTGCGGTCACACGGAGCATTAAGCACGCTAGAGAGACGGAAGATAGGCGGATTTTCTGGGCACGATCTCACCGCCACATCTGGGAAGATAGAGCTCCCGTGACGAACCCGAGGCTTCCCGCAGAAGATGTGCGGTTAAAAACTAGTACCTCGGAGGTACTAGTTTCTGGTAACCGCGGGGCAAGGGTGGGCGTCTGATCGCATTTCCGGTGGTAGTTCCTGCGCCCGCCCATGCCCCCTTGTATAAAGTTTTTTTCCCCAACTGTCCATGGGATGCGCACGAGCACCCAACGGGGCATGCGCACACTTTGGTGTCCAGACAAAAAAACACCCGTTTTCCGCGCCGCTTCTTTGCTTGATTGTGGTGTGCTCAGCACCTCCCCCCTACCACGGGACCTCCACAGTACGTCTGCTGGCACAACTGCGCGTTATTTTGCCCCGGGGCAAACAGCCACGCTTTCCCCCCCGCATTTTCCTGCCCGTGTGCCCACGGCCACAGCAGAGGGAGATGGTGGATATCCTATTGGAATGGTCCCCTATATAGAAAAATAACAAAAAATCACCATGCAAATATAAAACGAACACAGGTAGCAATTGAGCATAGTACACTTGTTTGGGCAGAGTTCTTACATGGGAGAGTATTACAGAATTGTCTTCTAATCCTGCAGTGTGTGAAATAGTCCAATTCATTCTACCACTGCCATTTCCTACCCCCAACTCTGCTTCAAGTGTAGATCCCACCGAATATTGGTCAGGGGGGTGGGTGTTTCATCGCCTTGTATCTTCTTGCCTCTGGTTTACAACAGCTTAATCAAGGAAGTAAAATCAAATCATTTAAAAAACACTTCAGAACAGATTATACATCATCAGGGGGGAAAATCATGCAAATGACTTCAGGTTACGGAAAGTCCAGAGGTTTACATTTTTATTCCTTTTTCGATTTCGTATAGAGTGCACAGAGACCTGCTTGGAACCTTTTCTTGCAAGTACAATTTGCAGTTCAACCGGGGGGGGGGGGCCGCCCATTACGCTCCCTCCCCAAAACTATGGGGGGGGAAAATGCGGTGAAGTCGCAGCCGGCTTACGGTGACCCCAGAGGGATTTTCAAGGCAAGAGGCCTCCAGAAGTGGTTTGCCATTGCCTGCTTCTGCATAGCAACCCTGGACTTCCTTGCTGGTCTCTTAGCCAAGTACTAACCAAGGCTGACCGTGCTTAGCTTGTAAGATCTGATGAGATCGGGCCATCCAGGTGAGGGCAAAACTACTTTAGGCAGAGTCATTGGTCAATCTGTCTGGGGTGTGTGTGTCCCCCAACCTTTGTAATCCCATGGGCACCTTTGGAATTCTGACACAGTGTCGTGGGTGCATCCACAAAATGGCTGCCGTGGTAGGTGGAGCAATGCATTCCCCCCCCCCCGAGGAAGTCCAAGTGCAGGGCAGACAGGGTTTTTAAAAACATACTGGGAAAGAAGCAATGTTATTTTCATCTGCACAGCCAATCAGAAACTGTGCTGAGCAAGAGCTCCGCCCACTTTCTGAAAATACTTGACAGGTGCCAGATAAGGTGTCAGCAAGCACCATGGTGGTGGGCAGAATTCCCTCCTAATTCCCTCCGGCTCACCCATTTTTGTCTTCGCTCAGGAAGGAGGGCTCCAGAGCAAACTAATGGCTTGCTCACAACTTTAATGGCAGAAGCTCACCAAGTAGAATTTTTGCTCGCAAGACTCCACAGCTTAGAGGGAGAGTTGGTGGTGGGAACCCCTGATCTAGTTCAATAATCTGAAACCTTGATGAGCTACAACTGGACGGGGGGGGGGGCTCCCCCACCCCAACCGGTTCCTGCAAATTTAACTGGAGATGTTGAGGACAGAAGGTGCACCTTCCAGAAAGAACTGGGAATGTATTACCACGAGCTCTGTGGACATTTGAAGATGACTTATAGGGAATCACACAACCGATCCACATTACCTTGCTGGCCACTCTGACAGGGAAGGGCTCTCCAGGGTCTTGGGCAGAAAAGGTCTTTCCTCAACCCTACAGCTGGAGATGCTGGAGACTTTGTGCGTGAAGCATGTGTTCTGCCACAAAGACACGGCTTCTAGGTTGGACCTCATCCACCAAGACCCTTAAGCAAGTGGATCCCTCAGCAGAGATTAATTGTGCCTTGGCTGCTCAAATATCCAGAATGGGGTTTTTTTTTGCACTGTTAATTTAAAACACATTAGTGGACTCTGAAGTCTATTTTTTTTTTTAAATGTAAATCATGCAACACTAGCCCATCCCTGCCCTAGAATTCCTCCCAGAATCTTCTGCAATGCATGGAGGTCCGGTGGGAAACCATGCAAAGGCCACTCAGCAAGAAAAAAAAGATGCGGAAACATACGACGTTGCCACAATTGGTTCTTCTTGCCAATATTCTGACAGGCTGGGGCTCTTCAGGGAGTCTTAAGAGCTCTGGAATCTCTAGTTACAAGATACAAACCAGAACCCATTTCGTGCCTCGAAGCTATGGTTCTGCCTCACTGCCAGTGGGCACAGATTAAGTGTCCTCTCCTTCCCTTGCACGACTCACTGAGACTGAAGACGGCAGTCTTCTACTAACTCCCATTCGTCATGATGTCAGCACCTTAAAAAGCAGAGGTTCATTGCCTAGTAACTGGGTTCTTGGGCAGAATTGAATCATGGTTAAAATCCAAGTTACTTGTGGGGGGGGGGGCTCAATTTGCTAAGGATTTGATGGACAAATTCTGTCTTGCCATGCCATATGGGGTGGGAGATGGAGAGGAAGGGAATGTGCAAACTCTACAGTTAATCGACTTCACAAACTCATGTGTTATGTCCAAAAGCCACTGGCTGCATTCAGATGCCACGACAAACCGCCTGTCCTGTGACAGGAGTGAGCGCTGCTTGTCAGGTTCACACGTTCTGCATGTCACGTGGGATTCAATCTGCAGTGACATGCAAATGCAGGTGAAGATCATTTGCTCCCCAAAAACCGGGATTTTAACCCTGCAGTCTAATCCCAAATCAGGACTCTGGTTTGTGAAGACTAAACAAACTCCAGTTCATGGAGGAGCTTGTGTTTGGGCGTTGTGGTAGACTGGAGTTCCAGCTAACCAGGAAGTACTGAATTGCATTCCATGTGCCAGGGGCCGGGGGGGGGGAAGAGACTGTGAGCATGTTGAACAAGCTGCGATTGTGTCTGTTGCAGATGGAAGAGAGTCATAATGGTGTCTGAATGCGGACACGATTTAGAGGGCAGCTTCTTTATAATAGCACGGAGCCCCCAGTGAGTTTAAGGAAGCCAATGAAACACATGGTGCTGCCTTTCTCTTCTACCTACTGAGGCTTCTTCAGCCACATGCTGAACTGAAGCAGTCAAGGAGGGGTAGTGGCAAAGGCAGCAACCTGGGAAGTATTCTGGGGTCCTCAAGGCCAGCTTGAACGAGTGAGAGAAGTCAACAAGAAAGCAAGGGAAGAAGGATCTTGCAGGAGGGATAAGAAGGAGAATAACGAGGCTCCGGCTGAAAACTTATATCCAAGGTAGAAAGGAAGAGATGTGTAGCCACGTCACAGTAGGTCCAACACAGCTTGGAAGGGAAATGACACTCCCACATGAATCAACATGGGGCCCAACCCCCTATGAAATTATCCAGGGCAAGCCCCAGTGAAATGAAAGAAAACTTGAAGCCATTCAGTTCATCAGGGCTCGTCTCCCGAGATCCTCCCAGGTCTGACCTTTGTCCTCAATTCTGCTACCATTCAGGGCACCCCAAATCCACTCTGGAGCCACCCACCTCCCCTTGCCTTATGGCCACATGCTGCCCTATCGGAAAGAGAAACAAAGGGGAGATTCTTTGCTGTGTGAATTGCTATGTGCAGCTCGCTGGCTTAGAAAGGCTGTCTCTCCTGGTTTAATCCTTATATGCCTCCACAATACATGCATGTAGGCAAACACAGATTTGTGGAGTAACCAGAGGCTGGTGTTGCACGCTGCTGGTATTTCAGGCAGGCAACCTCTCCTTACTCTGATGAAGCGATGTCACTGCAGTCATTTCAAAGCGGAATTTTGAAAGAAAAAACAACAACAATCAACAAAAATAGCAGCATTTTCTATTGGAGTTTTCAACGTTCACTTGATCAAAGAGCAATTCCTTTTTGACATAATTATCCACATCACAGTGATGTCAACCTTTTGGACTGTACCGACTCAACTGAGGCGTCAAAACACAGGCACGGACATACCTTGTTAGTGTCACTATCTATCGAAGGGGAACTGTATTTCCCACCGAAGGGTTCTAAGCCATAAATAGTATCTGGAGGTAGAGGGGCAGGATTAAATTGTCCACTTGGGTAGTGTAAGCTTCCAAAAGTGAAACCAAGCTGATAGAGACCAAAATCCAAGAGTAGCTGGCATTGAGATCCACTGTGCTATCAAAGATCAGGATTATGGCAACAGTGATGATCTGGGCAAAGATGGCCGTCATCGTCCCTTCAAATGTTTTCTTGGTTCCTGGCCACTTAATCTCCCCAACCGTACTACCAAAAATAGAGGCTACTGAATCCCCAACTCCCACGGACAGAACCCCAGAATAGGGCACCAGTGCTCCTGTCCCGGCCAAAGTTCCTTTTGGGGCACATGGTCTCGGGAACAGCCAAACCGGGAGGGACATCCCGAGGAGAAGGTAGATGTGGGTCAAGATCAAGGGCCCGCTATCACGTTCATCCAAAAAGAGAGAGAGCAGGTGTCGAAGCATCTGGCCAAAAGGCTTGATCCTAAAGTATCGGACGTACTCGAGAAGAATCAAGACCGCCAGGCAGACCACAGCTGCCACGTACAGGAGCTGGCGGTCATGGATTAGCCCTGGGACATAAGTAGCCACCACAATGAAGTGAAAATACTTTCTGGTTACAGTCGACGCTTGGTGCTTTTTAGAACCAGACGACCTCTTTGTGTTTTGGTAGAGGACTACGGTGCATGCCGAAATGGCCAGCAGGGTCCAGTAGGTCAGGAGGTAAACTCTCGTCTGGGTTTGAGACAGGAACTGGAAAAGCCAGAACAAGGGGTTCCTTCGGATCAGCCGATACAGCCACGGCATGACCACTCCCAGCCCCAGCACTGCCGTCATCATGTGGAAGAACATGGAAGAGATCCAGGTCCCAGAATCCATGAAGAAAAACAGGGCTGTGAAGAATATCCCCAGGAGGACTATACCCACCACTACCACCAGGAGGAAGAAATCCACAGGATCCCCTCGGCCTTCAATAACATTCAGAGAACGTTTAATGAGCTGGTTGAGGACAAAACTGATGCCCGTAAGGATGAGCAGAGCCTCGCCGGGGGTGAAACAGCGTGGCAGCAGGTACAGCAATATCATGCTGAGGTAGACAAAGATAAGCAGCACTTCCAGAACCTCAATCACTTCAGACACAGACAAAGACTGCTTCAGGGTATATATGATCAAACTGCCGGCAAGGCCAGAAAGGATGCAGGTGTTCGTTGGCATGGGTTTGGTAATGCCGATCGCTATCACAGAGAGGAACAGAGCAATCGCCATGCCAGTGCAGGCCACAACAATCCCAAAACGTTCAAAGTACACAATGCCAGCCATGATGCATCTTTCTTTCATCATAATTCCCAGTAACGGGATGGCCATGCAAGCTGGTAAGAGCCCACTGTTTGCTGTCGTTCGGAACTGGAAGACAGCGCTGCCTTGCTGAAGGAGATGGTCCCATTTGAACTGGACGTAAAAGGCCTGGATAGCGAGGGCAATGGCACACCAGGAGAAGCGGTCCCAGACGGCACCGTGCACACAGAGCACAATTGCAAACACGATTAGAGATTCCACGAGAACCGGTTTGTTTAGCGTGGTGCCGGCCGCTGGCATCATGGAATGCAAGGATCCTGATACTTGTTCCAGCCCAATTCTTTCAAAACAGAGTCTTTTGCTCATCCGTCAAAGCTTCACTTGTATCTTAACACCATTCCTAGAAGTGAAGAACAAAAACAAGGCATTAAAAACATGCTATATCGTAGCTTCTTTGTCTGTACTATGGAAGTGTTAGCTTTGCTTTGAACCACATGCCAGTGCTGTTGTCAACAGCAGTTGTGTGCTCTCAAGTCACAAGCAATTTATGGCAGCCTCTCATGGGGTTTTCAAGGCAAGAGACGTTCAGAGGTTGTTTGCCGCTGCCTGCCTCTGCGTAGGTACCCCATCTTACCTTGATGATCCAAGCAATATCTGTGCTAGATCCTGCTTACCTCCCAAGCTCTGCCAAGATCAGGCTGCTAGAGCTGTCGTTAAACACTCCTTAAGAGTGCCCTGAGACTGTTCTTTCTCCTTTTGGCTTGCTAAGTGGGGACTATGGAGCAGTAATATGTTCAGCTTAAATACAGAAGAAGAAGAAGAGATTGGATTTATACCCCGCCCTTCACTACCCAAAGGTGTCTCAGAGCGGCTTACAAACTCCTTCCTCTTCCCCTCCCCACAGCAGACACCCTGTGAGGTGGGTGGGGCTGAGAGAGCTCTGACAGAAACTGCTCTTTTTTCAAGAACAGCTCTTATCAGAACTACGGCTTGCCCAGGGTCATCCAGCAGCTGCGAGTGGAGGAGTGGGGAATCAAACCCGGTTCTCCCAGATTAGAGTCTGTGCACTTAACCACTACAGCAAACTGGCTCACTACAGGAAATTCAGTAGACTGGAGGGGCCAATTTGGACCATGGAGCAGTGGTAGAACACAGGCTTTGTACAAATGAAGCTGCCTTTTATGGAGATGGATAAATGCCAACTCCAATTGGCAGTGGCTGTTCAGGTCCTCGGACAGAACCTTCCCCACACTGGCTACCAGAGATTCTTTAAGTGGAAAGGCTGAGAGACTGAGCCTGGGGCGTTCTGCAGGCAAAGGGAAGGCTCCACCACTGGGCCAGGAAAAAGATCTCAGGTAGCAAAGGTAGGAAATACCATTTTCTGCCCAGAGTCTGAAGTCTGCTGGCAATGCTGAGCTAGATGGACCAATGGTTTGAAGGCAAAAACAGCTTCATATATTTTTAACTTATTGTATCTGCTGAGGAACAAAATGCAGTTAGCGACATGCAGGGTGGGTTAAGATGTAACCAAATCCAGTTCAGCACAACCACTGTGAGTCTAGGAGGAGCCACAGCCTTACTCATTCAATCCCTCCTTCCTTTCTGCATGTCTCTGTACCATGTCTAATACGCTGGTTCAGATTTCTGTAACCCTAGTACATCGCTTATTAGATGTCTCATCATGTTGACTGTATTAACTTACACGGTGTAATCTACTCTGAATCTCAGTGAGAAAGGTGTGGGTGATAAATATAATAAACTAGGAATAAGGCCCGTTGTGGAAATAAATACAATGAGCTCTAGAAAGAGGCTCTGGGCGGGTGCCCTGGCCTTAGGCACTCAGCGTCAATTTACTGTGGTGACCTCAGCAGGGTATAAACAGAGCTTACCATCTTCTCTAGGGGAACTGATCTCTGCCATCTGAAGAGCAGTTGTAATTCTGAGTTATCTCCAGCCCTCACCTGGAGATTGGCAGCAATGGTTCCCCAGGAGGAAAAGTACAGTCTTTCTCCGCAGTGGAGACCAAAGCAGCTTACATCATTCTCCTCCTCCTTTTGATCTGCACAACAATCCTGTGAGGTATGTAAAGCTGAAAGTATGTGACTGGTCCGAAATCACCCACTCAACTTCCACAGAAAGAACCTGGGTTTGGTAGATCTTGCTCTGAAGTGCTAACTGCTATACCTAGCGTAGCCAACCTGCAGGTGGAGTCTGAAGATCACTGGGTATCACAACTGAACTCCAGACAACAGAGCTCTCCCTCCCTGGAGAAAATAACTGCTTTGGAGGGTGGGCTCTATGGCATTCTATTCAACTGAGTCCTCTCCCCTCCCCAATCTCTGGCTTCTGTAGACTCCACCACAGAATATTCAGGAATTTCCCAACCTGAGCTGGCAACCCTAGCCAGGACTGGCCCCAATGAGCTCCCCACAAAGGCCTGGAAAGGGCTTCCTTCCTTTGCCTTTTTACTGACAGAACCAAGCTTGGTTGCCTAGCAACAGCCATTGAGGGAAAACTTAGTCCCACAGAAGCCAAGCAGGACAAGTGTCTTCATCAGGAGAGACAGCCATTTGGCAGTTTATTCTGTGAGAGAAGAGTGTCCAGGCTGGCAGTGGGCGGGGGGAGAGGAGCAGACCGAGCACCCAGCCAATGGCACGGGAGTATTCTTGAGTGACGGTTGATAGGCCAATAGCTGATGTAGCGTACTGCACAGCCCAGCAAACCGCAGAGGCAGGAGGGACCATATAATCTTCCAGGTTTGTTCAGATGTAGCCCCAAATGACTGAATGAAGCCACTCTACGCAAATGGCAGTTCTAGTTTTCTGTCTGTCACCGCATGGGCTTCTGCTATACTCTCAAGAGTAGCCCTACGAGATAATATGTGTTTTGATATTTCAGTTTTGTAGAGGAAAACAAACTTTGGGCCAATATGTTGTAGCAGATACAGACTACTGGTCTAAAATCCACAAAACTTACTAAGGACTTTGGGGGAAAGTCTGTTTTCCGGTCACCGTACAGGTTCTTGTTCCAGTCTACTGTATATAAATGATTATTAAGATAGCAGAGTTTTAATGCTTTTCTCCCCACCTCAATTCCAAACATTTAGCAAATGTATGTCTACCTCTCCCCTCGTGTATTTGGATAAGATTTTATGCCCCTATATCTGATACACTATTACAGGACCAAATAATATCAATTACTCCACCTTTCATCAGTTCATCTTCCACCATTATTTACTTGACATTTATGTATTATATGTATACATGTGTGTCCTCTGCTGAGTACATAGGACAAGCTAATAAGTCTTTTCAGGGAAGAACGAATGGTGACAACCAGAAACAAGTGAGAGCATTTCACCCTATCAAAACACTCTACTGCTGAAAGTCACTATTCTTCCGCAAAATGAATTTAAACGGAGACTCCAAAAAGAAATCAGAATGTATCAATCAGCTTGATCCTGTCAGTCAGGGGCCTGAACAGAACCGACGTCTTTGTCATCGCGGGTGTAACGTTGCTTAAACATTAGGCAACCACCAATGACAGCTACGGTGAAGGGCTGCAGTCCTTGCATGGCATGCTTCCTTGCATGGCCATGCTTCCTGCGCATCCAAGTGCAAGAGAGACCGCCTCTTCCATCTCATGCCCTCTTAGCCCGCTGTTTATTTCCCCCGTCTCTGCTCTGTCTCTGATGACAAAGGCATCTGACGAAGCAGACTCCCCTGCTGCAACAAGAAGAAGTGACCAGGGACTCGCGAAAGCTCCTCCCCTGCCACAAATTCTGTTAGTCTTTAAGGTGGCTCCTGGTCTCTTGCTCTTTGCTGCTGGCTGCAACGAGTCAGTTAGTGGCGCCCTAAGCTTCCCCTCCCTAATCTATTGTCCTTCCAGCTTCACGAAAATTAACGGCCTTTTATTTTGTATTATAAAACGGAAAAGTACACATAGACAGAATCGCGACCAACCTCTTCCGCCGGCATTCAAAGGCGCCCAGGATTCATGAACTCAACTGGGGGCCGCCATCTTGATGACGCGCGATAACATGGCGTCACGTGGCTATGAGGGAGCGAGCGAATCAGAGGCTTTGGCTCCTCCCTCCCTTCCCTTTCCCGCCCTCTCCTCCTACCAACGGTCAAGAGCCGGGCGCCGCGCGCATCTCTCTCTCCCCTGCAGCGCCTCGGAATCACGTGATCCGGGCGCTCGCTTTCCTCCTTTCGGGTTTCTGGTTCGCATTGAATCTGCGAGGCAGCGGAGCGGGGGGGAGGGAGACAGAGCGTCACGTGACAGTGGAAATAAGATGGCGGATCGCGGGCTGTGCGCGAGGTAGGGGAAAGTGGCGCGCGCGCGCATTTATTTGGCCGGCCGGCCGGGTTTGAGGGGGGAGGGGGCGGAGACGAGGGCCAGCCACCAAAATACCTTGGAGGGGGGCAAGGAGGAGGAAGAGGGAGAAGAGAGCTGGGCTCCGTGGGCGCCTCTGTCACGCTTCTAGTGCTTTCTCACTTCGCCCGAGGAACTCGGAGCGCGGCACGTGGCGGTGCTCCTCCTCCCGCCTTCCCGTTTTATCCTCACAACAGCCCTGTGAGGTAGGCGAGGCTGAGGGAGAATGGCTGGTTCAAGGTCACCTGGCGCCTGTAGACAGCATATAAATATATAGCTGTGTGCCTATTTCACAGAGATGTGCATGTCTCATCTAATAGTACACGTTTCTGTACTGTTATGATACAACCCCGCTGTGGTGTCTTTCTGTAGGTAGCTAAATACAGAGCAACATACACACATGTTTATAGTATCCTCCATCACAGGTGTGAAGCATTATCTTCTTTTGGGACCTTTTGCTCGCAACTTGTGTTCTATCACTGAATGTCTGACACACATACAGGTGCAAAGGGTACCAGTAGCTCAAGTGCCCTCCTACATTGTACTGAAGAGTATGCAGGATGAGAGTAGAGTGTCACCACTTTAAAATAGATTCAGGTGGGTAGCCGTGTTGATGTAGCAAAGTTTGAGTCCAATGGCACCTCTAAGGCCAACAAAATTCTATTCTGGGTATAAACTTTTCTGTGCATGCACGCTTCTTCACATAGATTCAGGTGGGTAGCCGTGTTGGTCTGCAGCAATAGAATAAAATATGTTGTCGAAGGCTTTCACGGCTGAAGTTGTTGTAGATTGTCCGGGCTGTATGGCCATGGTCTTGGCATTGTAGTCCCTGACGTTTCGCCAGCTGCTGTGACTGGCATCCTCAGAGGTGTAACACAGAGAGATGGAGTACTCTGTTAATGTGAGAAAAAAAATGGTAGGTAGGTAATCTATATATCTAATAGCCAGATGTCTAAATCCACACATCGGGGGGAATGTTCCCTCCAAGCCGTGGAGTCCTGTGAGCAAAAATTCTACTTTGTGAGCTACTGGCATTAAAGTTGTGAGCAAGTGATTCTGCTGCTGCATCAATTAGTTTGCTCTGGAGCCCTCCTTCCTGAGCGAAGACAAAAATGTGTGCGCCAGAGGCTAAAAAACTGGGAGCTAGCTCACACTAACTCAGCTTAGAGGGAACACTGATCGGGGGCACCTAGGGGGCAAAGATTTTCCTGCACATTTGGGGCAATCCCCAGATGTGCAGAAAAATCTGAAAAGTTGAAAAAAAATATAGAGGGGATACTAGGCACTGTAGCAGAGCCGTTGCTGGTGGTGGTGGTGGTGCACGGGG